TGCTCAGGGGTTGGAGGGTGTTCGAGGGGGCTCTGGCCCTTGCTGAGGGGCTGGGGATGTTTGAGAGGGGCTTTGATCCTTACTGGGGAGCATCTGGGGGGGGGCTTTGACCCTTGCTGAGGGCCTGGATGGGGTTTGAGGGGGGTTGACCCTTGCTGGCAGGCGTTTGAGAGGGAGTTTTACCATTGTTGAGGGGCTGGGGGTCTCTGTGGCGTTCCTGCAAAGGTCTTACCCTTGTTGGGGGGTGTCTGTATGTGTGTGGGGATGTGAGGGGGGGCTGTGGCCTGTGGTGAGGGAAGGGGGACTCTGGGACCTCACTTGGGGCTTGGGGACAGTGTGCAGAGGCCCTGACCTTGCCAAGGGGACTGGGGGGGAGCTCTGACTCTTGCAGAGGGTTTGGGGCTGGGTGGAGGGGCATTGAGGTGGTGGGGCAGTGCTGAACCTTGGTGGTGGAGAGGGGCTTTGGCCCGCAGGAGGTTCTGGGGCTGTTCGCTATCAAGGTGGAGGGTTGGAGGCTCCAGGTCAGGAGGCCTGGGGGAAGTCACTGGTGGGGCTGCTGTGCATGACCCAGGGGAATACATCTCTGCATAGAAGAAGGGGCTGAGGAGATGGGAAGGGCTCTGGGGCTTGTTATTTTGGACCATTTTACTTCTGCTCAACTGACTGAGTCAGTGGTATGAGACCTGCTCTGTTTGAAATTGCATCACGTGTTGAGTGTTCAGGGCATGGTTTGTTGTGCTTGTCTCGTGTCCTTACCGACAGGTCTAAATAGTGGTGTGATCTCCAGGTTGGGAAGAGCATTCGTTATCACTCACATTGCATTTCCTCATTTTTGCAGACTCTCTCTTTCTCCATAAGTAGCTGAAGCACAGAAGTCGCCATCATGGATTTTCAGCATCGTCCTGGAGGTAAAACTGGAAGCGGAGGCGTAGCCTCTGCCTCAGAAAGTAACCGAGACCGCAGGGAGAGGCTCCGGCAGCTGGCTTTGGAGACCATCGACATCAACAAGGTGAGCCTTGGCCTCTGCCTGTGCAGGAAAGAAAAGACATGTGGCACCCGTCCTGCAGACTGTTGTGGGGATAAGTTTAGAGCTTTGCTTGAGCAAAATAATGGGATATTTTAGCGGAGAGTTGTGGATTGAAATTAATTATTTCTGTTTCTGGTAATGTGGGAGTTGAACAAGAAACGTTTGTGGCAGGGCTCACCAGAGAGGTGCCAGTGCTTGTGTATTTAAGTAGCTGTTACTACATTATTTTCAGCCTCCTTGGGACTGGTTCGTATTTTGTTGTTTCTTGCCTGGAGTTGGGTATGCTGTCACCAGTTAACAAAGCTGCTATTGTTTCTCTCTGTTTTCATAGTCCAAAAGCAGTGCTGTGCTATTAATTTAAATCTACAAACTGAGTTCTTCCAGTGTAGCAGAAGTTCAGCATTAAGTATTTTGATTATTGTTTGAAAAACTGTTGTTTTGCCACGTAGTTTGCATGTAACTTTCTAATAAATCTCTTCCTAGGACCCCTATTTTATGAAAAATCATTTGGGCTCTTATGAATGCAAGCTTTGCCTAACGCTGCACAACAATGAGGTGAGTTGAACAGCTGTCTGTCTTGATCTCGGCAGCAGGTAGTTTAGAATAATCGTAGCTTCAAGTGTGAGAACCTGGGACATGCCTGATGGCTGACTGCTGAAGAGAGCGTGGGTGAGTGGTGGCTTGTATGTGCTAAGCCTGACAGTCTCTGACAGTTCAGTAGTTGAGAGCATTCTGCAATTTTTGAGTAAGATTGCTTTCTGCTAAGGATTAAAATATCCTTGTCAAGGTATGACATAACTTCGCTTCTGTGACAAGTATCTTTTAGTGTAGGAACAGTCCTGTCTTCATTTAACTTTCTTCTGCCTTGTTCTTTATTTCAGGGAAGTTACTTAGCGCATACACAGGGGAAGAAGCATCAGACCAATTTGTAAGTCATTTTCCACCGTAGCTTTGTTCTCCATTACCGAAGCACTTTAAAACGATGATTGTGTGCATCTATAAATATAAATTTTGATCTCCATTGTACAGTAACACACTGTGCTTGAATGTTCTTTCACTGTATGTGTTTCCTAGTGAGCAACCTGGCACTAGCCAGCAGGTACAGACCAGATGTGCTCCAAAAATGGTGCTGGCAGGCTGCATTTTGAGCTCAAGTTCAAAGCCCGTTGTGAGATTTTTGAAGGAAGGGGCGAGAAAGAATTTTAAAACCAAACTGTCTTGAGTCTAGTTGTAAAGACCTGGTTTTGTGAATACAGGTTGGGAGAAGTTTGTGAGTTTTATTTTAAGAAATCCAGTTTGCTTTGGTTTAGATGACTAGCTTGTGGGGTTTTTTCTTTTTTATTTCAAGAAGCAAGTCTTTTCAAATCCATCTGTGGAGATGGGCACCAAGGTCATCTTGGGGGTGGATGAGATCATTTTGATGACAGCCTTTAAACAGGGGAAGGCATAAATACAACTGGCCTGTAGTGGTGCACGTGGAAGAGAAATAGGTTTTCTTGGCATGTTGTCTGTGAAGTGTTGAATATTCCGTGGTGAGGGATTCAGACTGCTCCTAGCGTATCCTTTAGAAAAAAGTGTGGCCAAGCTTTTAAATACGGCACATTTCAAATTAATCCAGGGCCCGTCGAGCTGCCAAGGAAGCTAAGGAAGCCCCTGCCCAGCCCGCACCAGAAAAAGTCAAAGTGGAAGTAAAGAAATTTGTGAAAATTGGACGACCGGGTTATAAAGGTATGTCAGGGTTGTCTGTCATAGGAGATGCCTAAAGCCTGCTGGAGCTTGCCTGAAGTGCAGTGCTGTGGATGTGAATTATTAATTAGTCTTTTTAGCAGATCTGTCCATGAATAAGATATCATCTCCTGATGTCCTTTATTGTTTAAATTACCCATGGAACATCTCTTTATTGCTGACAGTCAAGTGGGAACCGTTTTAATAATAGATTGGTATGTCTCAGTCTTTCAGTTCTTATTGGTAGCCATGCAGGAGATGATGACATTGTTTCAGTCTCTCTTCTTTTATTGTGCTGTACCATCTTTCACTAGTGCACGTAAATCACTCATTGCATGTATAGCTCAATTTTTTTCTCTGAACTCTTCACTGTGGTGTTCTGGCCTTCAGTACAAAACTCGTCTGCTTTATCTCCCAGCTTTGTTCTGCGGTGCACAGTGCCTTTGCCCCATGGCAGCTGAATTTCAGTAGGGATCCTTCACAGTGTCGATTAAAGACAATGTGGAGTTTTGTTTGAGAAATGGGAGAAAAATTGTGTAATGTTTTGTTGTTGGAAGCTTTGTATGTTTCCTGGGGCAGAAATAACGTTGCTCTAACCATGCTATGTGATGTACTGAGCTTTCTTACTTTCTTTACAGTGACCAAACAGAGAGATCCAGAAACAGGCCAGCAGAGCCTTCTCTTCCAGGTAAGGGCACTGTTAAAATTCTTGGTGTTCAGGTTATCCAAGTACAAGTGCTGCTAAATGAGCAGTTCTTTACAGGATTCATGAAATAAATCCATAAATAAAAAAGGCCTTACCTTGCTAGTCCTCTGCTGCTGATTGTGTCAAGCAAATCCCTGATCACAGTTGTCAAGCTTTTTCCTTTGGTGGCACTAAGTTTTCTGTTTGGAGCTGGTCTCTCGATATGCTTCATACTTGAGGGATTTGTTTTGTACAGAGAGGGAGTGAAAGGGGATGTTCTTCTTAACACTGCAATAACACCCCAACAGATTGATTATCCAGAGATTGCAGAAAGTATCATGCCTCGTCATCGGTTCATGTCAGCCTATGAGCAAAGGATTGAGCCCCCTGATAGACGCTGGCAATACCTTTTGATGGCAGCGGAGCCCTATGAGACCATAGCTTTCAAGGTAAGATTTGAAATTAACTGATTATTGGGCAAGTTCCCTCCCCATGTTTTCCAAGACATTAATTCCCAGTGAGCATTATTATAGACTTCATGTTCTAGCCTTCGGGGGGTTAATGGAGTGGAAAGGGGGGGTCAAGAGGACATGACTGGAAGTCATTAAACCCGGATGAGAATTAGTGGAGGACTCTGGCATGAAAACTAGGCTGTGTGCTGAGCTCTGGGGAGCCATTGACTTCTCAGTGTCTGGCACAGAAAGGAGCCTTCTGGGCTTTGCTCCTCAGCCTTTGTGCAGATGTTAAGAGAGGGTTTTTTGCCAGCACACTTGTCCTTGACCGATAGGGAAGTAACTTAATTCTTTCCTGCCCCCATCTCTATCTAATAACATCTGAGACTAGCGCATCTCACAAAGGCCCGGAATAACTGTGCTTATCTTGCAGGCTCTGGTGCTAAAAAGGGCCATTGAGCTAATCTGGTGGTGCTAAGAATAGCTCCGTATTCTTTTTTTGTTGCAGGTGCCAAGCAGAGAAATCGACAAAGCGGAAGGAAAGTTTTGGACCCACTGGAACAGGGAAACCAAGCAGGTAGCTGGAGCACTGCAACACCTTTCATAAGGGTTAAAGAGGGAGCAGGAGGGCAGAGCAGCTTGGGGGGAAAGGCAATGCAGGGAGAGTGCAGACCAATCGTATCCATACTGGCTTTGATGCTAAAATTTTCATTCCTTCCATGCAACTGTGCAGTGACTCCTCCTGACAGAAATCATCTTTCTGAGGACTTAACCTGGGAGGTAGAGTCCTCGGTTGCTGCCAGCAGCAGGAGAAGGGTGCATAAACATGCAACACTGTGTCCTCTCTGGCTCTTTTGTTGCATGTTTCCTGCCCGCAGCTGTCTGCGGTGAGCCTGTGGCGTGGATGTACTCACTGGGTACCGCACGTGAGAGCAGGGGATGAACACGTAGTGGGGGATACCAACCCCATTGCAGACAGCTTAGTGCTTAGAACAAGTTTTAGAGGAGTTAAAGTGCTGGACGAGACTGGTGCAAGTCATGAATGCTGCCGGGGTAGAAAGGCAACCATGATCTGTGGAGGAAATGGGTCAGGAGATGTCCAAGCTGTGTTGTGTGATGGCATAGAATTGTCCTGAGGACTAATTGTTCCCTTCTCTTTGCTTTTCTCCCCTCCCCAGTTCTTCCTTCAATTCCACTTCAAGATGGAGAAGCCCCCAGCTCCCCCAAACCTCCCTCCAGGGCCCCCAACAGTGAAGCGGCCTCCTCCGCCACCACTGATGAACGGCTTGCCCCCAAGGCCACCTCTGCCGGACTCCATGCCGCCGCCGCCTCCAGGAGGCATGACTCTGCCTCCTATGCCTCCCTCTGGACCAGTGCCACCACCCCCAGTGCCACCTCAGCTGCCACCAGCACCCGGTGTACCTCCCCCTGCTCCTCTGCCACCCATGATGAGACCACCTCTCCCCACAGAGGGGCCAGGCACTATCCCCCCTCCGCCTCCCTCCAACTGAAACCCCTCCTGAACTCAGTCCCGCTGGACTCCTCTAGCTCTTATCTTTTTATATGCAGATCACAACTGATTGAGAGAAATACTCTGTTTTGTATGCCTGTGAATTGACTAGATCCTGTAGGTTCATTAAAAGGTTTTCAATTTTCCTTTCTCTATGTTTTCCTGTGTCTTGGTTAAAAATGTCTTCAAATTTCTTTAGCCCTTAGACATAGAAAACATTCCCAGTCTGGTGACATTTTGGGAATTCTCTGAAGAGTAGGCAAAGGGTTAGAAATCTCTAGGCACCTCACCGACTTCTAACTGACGTAGCTCCATCAACCTCAGCTCAGCTGTGTTGGCTTAACGTATTACTCCCTCTTAGACAGCTTGATGTGCATCCCATAAACTACCAGCCAGTTAATCAGTTGCTATTCAACTGAAGTCCTTTATCAAGCCATTTATTTGGTGATGGGGAGACTTGTCACAGACACACAAGAGGGATTCTGTTACTGCATCCCCAGTAATCACAGCGGTAGGCAGAATGGAGGGCAGGCAGAATTT